CTTAACCTACCATAATAATAACTTGCCTTACGCTGGCCTAACCTAACCTAACGTTCCCAGGTTGCATTAGGGTAGGGTTTTTTTTTTTTTTTAGGTTAAGGTGGGGAAAGGATGGAAGGCATGCTGGGGCTCAAGGCACAGCCAGACATGAGGGATGGAGAAGTCACAACATATAGTCGTGGGAGGAAAGGTTGGAAAAGAAGTTTAATGAGTTAAACAGAGGGGGACGACACCCCTTGTTTTACATATTACAGAGTTTGTTGGCTAACTAAGCTAACCTAGGATTGGATGAGGTTGCACAATGGTTACTTTGGTAGACAATGACTCATTAGATTTTATAATTACAAGTTTATTAACATCTTATACTGTATTACGTTATGGATTCACTAGATTGTGACTTGTTAAATGTGAACTTATATCATCTAAGTTTTAATCTAAAGTGGATCACTGTGGTGAACATAGATGGGTCGCGGGTTGGGTTGTTGTAGTGTGGACAGACTGATTTGATTTTGCCGCTTACAGCGGCTACTTTATTGTGCACCCCACACTCATCCTGTGAGCTGTAGCGCAAAAGGATTACAGAGTAGAGTTTACAACGGGCCATAATAATTAACCCCCGTTGTCAGGATATTATGGCACTGCATGTTACACGGTATTTCAATTACATTATTTGCTTAGTTCTATTCATAAAGACGCCGGGACCACCAGGTGTGGGGTCGCCCTCAGTTGATGTCTTCCCCGCGTAGGTGGTCTGGGCTGTGAGGGTCGTCCAGGAGCTTGTCCCGTACCTTCTTTCCTAGGCTATGGAACCTGACGTTGAAGGGGACTGTTTTATTTCTTAGGTGGAAGGTTTCCACTGTCTCCTGGTCGGGTGGCGCTTGGCCACTGGCTGACCTCAAACACTTGTTTTGGAAGCTCTGTCGTTGTTGTAGTCACTCTATATCTGTGCCAAAGTTAATGCTTTCATCATAAAATGCACAATTGTTTGGCTATGCCGCTGTACTAAGAGGACGGAGGAGAGGTTCAATGTCAGGGATAGTGCGTATCAGGTAGTTCCAGCAATGTTTGACTCCGTGGGTGAATGCAGCAAACGCCGCATTTGGCTTAGTCTTTCCTTTTTCCACTCGTTTACTCTTCAGTTACATATTTGGTCTTAAAATCATTCATGGCGATTACTGAGCATAGGTATTCTTGGCCTGCGTTTGTTATTTTCACCTCACTCTGGTAAAGACCTCTATAGATCGGTCGTGATATTTTGGCAGTACAGTGTAGAATGATGTTGCCAGGTGCCGCCATCTTTTGATATCCTCCACAGATTGACCTAGTGCATACATTGCCATGGTAACTGGGTCCCCATGCGTCGTTCCCTCGGTGAACTTTATGGCGGTATCTCCTCTTAGGACCTCGAAGCTTGTTCTATAGTGGTCTATCGGATTTCTGTAGGTATTTTCTACATATTTTGCATAGCTTGGACACCTGATCTTGATGTTGTGCATTGTATCATTACCAGTTGAGTACGTTGTAAGCAGCAATACAGTCTCATAGCCATGGTGCTCAAAAATCTGTCTCATGGTGTGAATGGTAGCTTCCCCATCAGCCTGGTGCTCAGTACATATTTGCAGGTTCTTTGTTGCTGCCCTGACATAATCTTTGATCACCTTCGCTATACATTTACCAATAACTGACCTTAACAGTTCCATCACCCATATACAATCGGTCTACATCCTGGATTTTTGTCCACAGGGATGAAGTGGCTGGCTGTTAGAGCTTGTAGGAGTTGACAGCAGGAGGTTGTCAGCTTTTTTTGCGAGGGTGGCAATGGCGTAGCAGATGTCACTTTCTGCTTTGCCAAACTTGATGACTCTCCTTCCACTGACATCCAGGCCTAATGGTTCATGCCCTCATTAGGTCTTTAGTGCTATTTTCCAACACCATCTTCATTTGCAGGAGGGTGTTTATCCTTTACCAAACTGCCTCGCCCAATCGTCGGAGCCTTTTCTTGTCTCCTAAAATGTTTAGTCTCTCCTGTAGTGTTCTTGCCTCACTGGAGTGATCATAAATTTCCCTCTTCTGCAACCTTTCGCCATTGGTGTCACATTCCCCTTGTGGTTAATTTTTTAGTCTGTTCTCTGGCAGAAGAGATGGGATATTGTTGCTAGTATGTGGAGGATTGGTGGGGTTTAGGGAAATGTCGAAAATGTACTTTATGTATGAATCATTTTTTGGGTGGCCCCACATTTTGGTGGTTCAAAAAAGTTTGTTGAGGTCCACCAGCCAATTTCTGAGTAGGCTTCATTAACTCGTACGTCTGCCACTTCACCCTACATGTCCTCTCCATTTTGATGACTGCCTGTCTGTCATTCTCCTTGGGTACATCTCCCCTGTTTAGTGCAGCACTTCTTGGCTCTTCGTTGTCAATCTGAGTGGATTAACTTCCTGTATTATCATTCAGGGTGACATCTGCTGGTGTTATCTGGATAGTATCCTCTACTACTATTCTTAGTACTAATAAAGATCTTTAACAACTACTACTACTACTGCAGCTACTACCACTACTAAGTCTACAACCACTACTACTACTACTCTCCCCCTATAGCCACACCTCCGCCACAGTTGTATTGCGTTAATATTAAATATCCTAATACAAAAGTAGATACCCTATCTGTGATGAGTTAGCTAAGCCGCATATCTATGCGGCATTCAGTGACTGTTGCCTCAAAATCAATATGTGCGACTGTTTTCGCCTTTGGGGCCGAAGATCTCGTTTCCCAGAGGCAAAACATGACCTAGGCAGAGAGAAGGACAGTCGACATCTCAACCAGGCTGCAACGTAACTTCTGTGCTGCTGCTTCTGTTCGGATAACACCTCTGCCAGTCTTGCATAGAAACATCTTGCACTTGGTCCCATCCCACCAGAGGCTATGAACACCAGAGGAGTGAAGCTGCCTTGTTCAACATTCTGAACTTTCTCTCCTACGCCCTGTTCTTGTCATTCTTGTTTCTCTTGTGTGCAGCAGCAAGAACTAGGTTACGGTGACATGTGGTAATGGGGTCGAAAAATCATATATCAAAGAAGGCTCGCTGTCCCCGCATCCAGAATCCTCTAGCACTGACGTCCACACGGGCTTCATTGGAAATGTTTGAAGTCCTGTGATGGAGATTCTCACCGTCCAATGGAAGGAGAGTAGGTTCCACCATGACATCATGGCAGATTTCCTTTAACATGTTTGCTGTGAGATCCCTTACTTCGTCATGCCTCGTACATACGAAGCCCCCTTTCTTACACACCATGGCGTGGTCGATGTCGTAGGGTGAGCCACACACGCAATGGGAGGGCAAACCTTCTACTGGTCAAGCATGCCTTAGAGTAGACCAATAGCATCTGTAAATTCTTGTTCATTAAGAATGAAATCTTTTGCCCTTATCGGTAACGTAGTTAGACAGTTCGAGACGCCCACCTCCTGTGCTGTAGCTACATTTTTTCCCAGCTCTGACAATTGCAGCATCAGTTGTTGACGTTTATCACTTTGAGTGTGCTGCTGTGCTACCGTTCTGTCGAATCTTGTTTAATTCGTTAGTATCCACCTGACTTGCTGTATTCTGAGCTATTATGTGCTCAGTGAGGGCTGCCGTGAGCTTGACAGAGTTCTGATGTTCGGTGGCAGCAAGCTCCACTGGATTAGTCAATCCCATTCCTTCCAGTCTCGGTGGTAATGATGGGGTTAAATAATGGCTTTCACTAGTGTTGGGATAAAAGCGACCCTGATGGTTTCTTCCAGAGGGTGGAGGAGGGGTCCGTTATCAGGGATAGCGCACATCAGGTAATTCCAGCAATGCTTGACTCCATGAGTGAATGCCGCAAAAGCAGCATGTGGCTCAGTTTTAGTGATCTCCGGTTGAGCTTGAATTTCTTTCATACACTCAATTTACCTTTCCCGTTACATAGTCGGTCTTGAAATCGTTTGTGCCGATTACTGCACCTAAATGTTTTTGGTTATCCTTTGTTATTTTGACCTCACTTCCACCGAACACCTCCATTGCCTGTTCATAGTGTTCTGGCTTCACAATGAGGAAGGACTTGCTGGCATTTGGGTGGTACTTTATTTGTGGACCTCGTGATGTTACCAGGTTCCACCACTTTTCGATGTCCTCCACCTTTCCTGCTCCAGTAAGGTCGTCAGCATATGCCACTCGCTTGACATTGGTTGTTTCACAGTTTATTGTGTGTTGGAACACGGATAGACCTATTGTGGACATTTCCATAGCAACAGGATCCCCCTGCTTAGTTCCCTCAGCTGACTGTATGGTGGTATCTCCTCTTTGAGCCTTAAAGCTTGTTATATAGAGGTCTGTCGGGTCCCTGTAGGTGTTTTCAACATACATTGCAAAGCTTGGACAGTTGATCTGGATGTTGTGCAGTTTAGCCTTGCGGTTGATTATGTGATTGTGTTGGAGGCGTCAACCTGGAGTACTGCCTCACAACCACGCTGCTTAAATACCTTTCTCGTGGTGTGAATGGCAGTTTCACCCCTACCTGGTGGCCAGCACACTCCTGCAGGTTCCCTGCAGCTGCTCTTACATCATCAATGGGTGATGGCAGCATTAGGTTGCTAGCTTTCTTGCAAGGGCGGAGGTGGCATTGCAGAGATCACTTACTGCTTCGCCAAACTTGTTAGTGCGGAGGATGATTCTCCACCCATCTGTATCCAGGCCTGAAGGGCCAGCCCCTCCCTGTGTTTTCAGTGCTTTTTTCCACACCGTACCTCTTGTTATTTTCTCGAATATGACTGAATTTGGAGGGATATAGTAATCCGGAAACCTGATGCCTTCCTCTGCACTTGCAGGGGGATGTTTTTCCTTCAGTTGTTTTAAGGTCTCTGTTTATTGGCAGAACACCACCGGAGGATTCCTCTGTGAGAGATCTTACTACCAAAGACACTTTTCCCACACGCATTTTGTTACCTAACATTCTGGAAACATCCTCAGTGGCTTGCTTTCCGTTTCCTGTAGATTTCAGTCTCTTCTGCAGTGTTCTTACTTCACTTAGGAGATCATCAAGAGCCCGTTCTGCCACGTTGTCTGTCTTCTCTTCATTGCAGCCACATTTTCCTTACACTTACTCCTTGCGTGTGTTCTCTGGCAGAATAGATGAGGTATTATTGCCAGTATGTGGAGAGTTATTGGGGCCAGGGTGCTGTCGTGAGTGGAATATTGTGTGAGGCGAGTCATCTCCCGGATTATTTCTCTGGTGGCCCAACATTTTGGTGGTTGAAAGAGGTTAATGGAGACCACCTGACAATTTCTCAGTAGGTTTCTTTGACCCATTTCTCTGCATCTTCCCTCGACATGCCTTTCCAATGTGATGGTTGTCTGTCATTCACCTCGTGCTCTTCTGCTAATGTTGGAGCAGCATTTCTTGGCACTACATTTCCAGACTGAGTGGACTCGCTGCAATCATTCAGGATATCGTCAGGAGGTATTTTCAGGGCGATATCCTCTGCCCAGGGGATTCTGACAGTTGTTCCCCTTCCTGCATCCCACACATTAGCGGTTGTTTCTCACACTTTCACAGTTTGTGCAATTTTGGTTCGGGCTAGAACAGATGCAATGACAGTTACCCAGCATAATGCTCCACTCGTCGAACAACAGGAGAAATTAGTGACTTGGATCTCCACTGTATCTGGTGAGTAGGGTCAGTTATGACCCCTACCACACTACTACTGCTATTTTTTTATCTCGTGTGGCCTCCAACCTCCTCTTTTAGCCAAACCTTCCCAACCATTTTAGTACCTAAATATCCTAATCAAAAAGAAACTACCGTAGCTGACTTAGTTAAGCCGCACACCTATGCAGCATTCAGAGACTGCTGCCTAATAGTCAATACCCGCGACCTTTGTCGGCTTTGGGCCGAAGATCTCGTTCCCCTGAGGCAAAGCAATGTAGACCTAAGCGGAGAGAAGGACAGTCGACATCTCAACCAGGCTGCGATGTAACTTCTTTTGTTCAGATAACACATCGGCCAGTCTTGCCTAGAAACATCTTGCACTGGTCCCATTCCACCAGAGATTGTGAACACCAGGATGAAGCTGCCTTGATCCACATTCTGAATTCTCTTAATATACTCCCTGTTCTTGTCATTCTCGTTCCTCTTGTGTGCAGCCTCAAGAGACAGGTTACGGTGAAATGCGGCCATGGGGTCGAATATCTTGACACCAAAGAAAACTTACTGTCCCTGCGTCCAGCATCCTCGCTAATGCCCACCTGGCCTTCATTAGATGTCCTGTAATGAAGATTCTCACTGTCTAATGGAAGGTGGGTTGGTTCCACAGTGACATATGGTAAATTTTCTTCACTATATTCGTCATGCTTCAAACATGCGAAACCACCCTTCTTTCACACTATTATTACTAGTACAACTACTACTACTACTAAAGACCATTAACCACTTTAGCCACCGTACTTGCCACTTACCTTAGTGGAGGGAGGCACAGGGTCATGGGTCATGAGTTGAGCGATGCAGGGTCTGGTGGGGTCGTTCCCCAGGACCCACATCTTCTTCAGTGTGCCATGAGGGAAGAGAGAGAAGGCCGCCTCAGTTGCCGGGGCCACGTCAGGGTGTACCACGGCCCATCGCGCCTCACTCACATTCAACACGTGCACCAGCTCCTCTGATGAAGGTACACCATGTGATTCTGTATCTCTCTCTATCGCATCTCTATCTCCATCACTGTCCCTCATAATGCCACTGGCCAGACTTTATCTTAGATTGGAGGCGCTTTGTGAGTTGGATGGGAATATTCTATTTTGTAATCTGTATTAAGTATTAAAAGTATAACTATGCAAGAAATGTTAGCATTAAGAGATGGAGGTGGATTGCTTATTTAACATCTCTCTTCTGGCTACTATTGAAAAGTTCTTAGAGCCATTCCAGTAATATTAATACGATGTAAACAAACACAGTTGCCACATGTCACAAAATGCGTCAACCACTGTACCAGCTGGAGCTGAGGCCGACTGTGCATGCCCGAGGTACACACCTGGACTAAGGGAGGGGTTTACGGGCACACAGACAGCCCCGCAGTGAAGTATTGACAACAATATCAGTGGGAAGTCCATGTGTGTTGGCATGAGAAGGAGCACCACCTCTCCCCGTGTCACTCCTGCCTTCGCCAGTCCACCAGACACCCGCGGCACAGCACTACATAGCTCCGAATACTTCCAGTGCTGACGTGTGTCAGCATCCTCCTGAAACAGTAACATAGGAACACACAGATACACAGTGTCTCTGTGCGTCACTACACCTGAATTACCCCCTTGTTTGTGAGACTCCCTGTATGGCAATGACTGAATAGACATCTGCTTTATTTTAAAGCCTGTATCTATATTTTATACCTGAATCTCTTGTTCCTATACCTGTACCTGTGTCTATATCTGTCCTTTATACCTACAGTATGTCTGCACCTTTGTCTGTTCTTATACCTCATACCTGTTTATATCCCTGCATTGTACTGTATATGTACAGCCTCCCACACGTCTACCTGCTACAGTCAGCCTTGTCAATCCTCGTTTTTGAGAGTTGTGAACCACGGGACTATGAACCCGTGTGTGTATATATATATATATATATATATATATATATATATATATATATATATATATATATATATATATATATATATATATATATATATATATATATATATCATGTAGATCCACAATGAAAATGTGGATAAGATAAATCTTGATAAAATCACACAGGGAAAAGGGAAACAATGGAGCACCTTGGCTTTCGTCTTTATTCAAGACATCTTCAGGGGCAACTGAAATACATGGACGGAGAGAGGCTTAAATACACAGGGAGACCTTATTAAACATAAGAACATAAGAAAATAAGGAATCTGCAATAGGCCGGTTGGCCTGTGCATGGCAGCTCCTGTCGAGAGTTACTACCACACTCTATCATCCATGAATCTATCCAGCCTCCCTTTGAAACTTTCCAGCGTTCCAGCACTTACTACAAAGTTGCTAAGCTTGTTCCACTCGTCCACTACCCTATTTATAAACCAGTTCCTTCCTATCTCCCTCCTAAACCTAAACTTATCCAACTTGAATCCGTTGTTCCGAGTCCTATCCTGCTCGGACATTATAAGAACTTTATCTATATCACCTTTATTGATTCCTTTCACCCACTTAAATACTTCTATCATATCTCCCGCACTCTTCGTCTTTCTAGGGAATGCAAGTTTAGTTTCTTTAACCTATCATGATATGGAAGGTTTCTAAGTCCCGGAATCATTTTCGTCATTCTTCGCTGCACCGACTCTAGTGAATTGATATCCATTCTATAATAAGGATACCAGAACCGAACCGCATAATCGAGGTGCGGCCTGACTAGCGCAAGATATAGTTGCAATAAGACCTCTGCACTCTTATTACTTACACTTCTAGATATAAAACTCATACTCTGTTTGCCTTATTTCGAACATTAACGCACTGTTTTCTAGGCCGTAGGTCCGGGCTTACAAGTACCCCTAGGTCTCTTTCACAAGTCTACATGAGGTCAGGTCATAATCATGACATCCACTAATCCGCACACCAACACCAATACACACGCAGAGGAGCTTAAGAGAAAGGGTGACGTGTCTAGTCAAGTTAAGTCAGGTCAAAGATATATGGGACCCACTAAATATCTATCCTTCATCTAACTTCAAGGTTTTCAAAGCATTTTTAACCGTGGGTCACTGACGAATAAGTTATATATCATATTATCAGTTTTGTACTGACCATCACTATGGTTTATGGTAGAGAAAGAGCGAGAGAACGATCCCTCGACAACTGCCAGTGATTGGGAACACAGCTTAGAAGTGTACAAATCATCATGTGTCACAGAAAGACTTATGGTTGAAGCAAGTTTGATAAGGGATTTGAATTCTATAAACCTTAGTGATGGTCAGTACAAAACTGATATGTTAAAGAAATTTCTTTGTCAGTGGCCCACGGTTAAAAATGCTTTAAAAGCATTGGAGTTAGATGTAGGATAGATGATTAGTGGGTCTCATTTATTTTTTACCTAACTTAACTTGACTAGTCACTTCACTCATCCTCTTGAGCTCCTTTGTGTGTGTGTGGTAGTGTTGGTGTGTGGATTAGTGAAAGTCATGTTTATGACCTGACCTCATGTTTAGTAAGGTACTTAAGCCTCTCTCAGTCCATGTAATTCAGTTGCCTCTGGATTCCTTGAGACTGACCACAGCCACAGCGTCGCCGTAAGCAGCCATCGACTCCAGCATGAAGACAGCGTAGTTAACGTTGGGGATGGCAGGCAGAGGTCCCGGTCCATCCCACTCAAGTATACGAGGCTCCGTGCTCCTCCTGCTACCACCATCCTGCTGCTGCTGTTGTTGTCCACTCATCTGCTGGATCTGATAATAATTATTCTTTTATTGAGAGAGAAAAACACAGACAAAAAAATGACCTCTTGAAGTTCAATTAAAAATATAAGTGATATCGATTTCATCATATTGTAGACAGGGCGTTATCGTTAGTCTGGTTGAGATAGCGATTTTTTGATTACACATAATTGTTTCAAATAAGTTCTGGAACTCTTAAGTGGTAGAGCTAATGTAAACACTTCTTTTGGGGTTTTTTATTGTTGAAGCAATTATGTACACAGTCCTGGGCTTAGGGGAGAATATATTGTAAATTCTCTCCAGGAAAGTATCTTGAATACACTTATATACAGTATGTGAACACTTAAGTTAGGTGTTCGCCCCCCTTAACTAGTGGTAAGATTCTAGCCCTCTCCACCGAGCATTAGAGCGATGTTTTGATTAGTCAGGTGACCCCACTCGACTTCGAAGAGAGTTACAAGCTCAGCAGTGGATAACGTCAACAACTGAGTTACAACAACCGAATCATTGTTGAATAATGTAGTGAATAATTCAGTGTTATTCATTTGGATGAATATTTATATAATGCAAAATGTGCTGTTACTTGGTGAAAGGTTTTAGAAAAGTTAAAATAGTGTAATTGTCATGGACACAATGATTGCTGGTCTTTTTTAAACCTGATGATTCATATTATACTCCACACCCGCAAAACATGTGGATAACTGGTAAGTTATCCCTAGGGAGAAATGCGTTTTCCCTCTCTTTAGGTGCTGGCCATTTTCTCCAATATCTCAACGTATATACACAAAGGCTCCTTATCCATAAGTCCCGCCCACTTGGGGAACTAACAGTTGTCAACGTGTATATTCCACTTTTTCCTGGCAAGCTCAATCTCGATTGAGTTTATGTAAATCAACTTAAGAAATTCTCCAGACCCGTGTCAACTGAAGGGTCTAACCCAAAGGCGTTTTACCGCTATGCAAAGTCGAAATTGAAAACGCGAGTAGGAGTATCAGACCTGAGGCTTGAAGATGGTAGTTACGCAGATTCTGACCAGGATAAAGCTGAGGCATTGAACAGCTTCTTTTCCTCAGTGTTCACAAGAGAGGATGCAACTAACCTTCCTGCGTTTGAGGACAGACGGTTCGACACAGCACTGACCCACATTGTGTTCACAGAAGAGGGTATTAGAAATAAACTGTCCAGGCTAAAGGTCCATAAGAGTCCTGGACCTGACATGGTGCATCCTAGAGTGCTAAGGGAGCTGTGCAACGAGCTTGCAGAGCCCCTGAAGATTCTGTTTTGTAAATGCCTGGATGAACAAATGGTCCCCAGTGAATGGAAAGTGGCTTATGTGAGTCCTATCTTCAAGAAGGGCGATAGTCACTCCACGAACAACTATAGACCGGTGAGCCTGACCAGCATAATATGTAAAGTACTTGAGAGTATTATCAGAGATGCAGCGATGGAACATCTACTACGAAACAACCTTGTAAAAGATTGCCAACACGGTTTTATGCCGGGGCGCTCTTGCTTGACACAATTGCTCAAGGTATTGGATATTTGGACCCATATTCTAGAACGGGGTGGTAATATCGACAATATTTACCTAGATTTCGCCAAGGCTTTCGACAGTGTACCCCACGAAAGGCTGAAAATCAAACTGGAAGGGTACGGAATTCGGGGAAATGTCCAAGCGTGGATAGAAGACTTTCTACATGACCGCAAGTAATGTGTGGTGATTAATGGCACGAAATCGTCATCTGTACCTGTAACAAGTGGGGTACCGCAGGGTAGTGTATTGGGCCAGCTGTTGTTTGTTTGTTTCATAAATGATATGCCTGACGTTGTACACTCCTCCATACAAATGTTTGCCGATGATGGCAAGTTTTTTCGGGAAATTAAGAACCAAGCGGACTGTGAAGAGCTGCAGAAGGACCTCTGTGGGCTCCAGGAATGGTCGAAGGAATGGCTGCTGAGATTCAATGTCACGAAGTGTAAGAGGATGCACCTGGGGCGTACCAACGGTAAGGAGGCGTACCATCTGTCCCAACGGGATGAAGAAAATGTACTAGTTGAGACTGTGTGTGAGAAGGACCTAGGTGTGTATGTTGACAATGAGCTAAAGTTCTCGGGCCATTGTGAGAAGAAGGTAAATCAGGCAAATAAATTATTGGGTCTTATAAGAAGGTCGTTCAGATATCTAGACGGTCCGTCCCTCGTGACGATCTTCAGGAGTGAAGTGCTTCCCCATCTGGAGTACTGTCACCCCATCTGGTCCCCGAGATATGCTAGGGACTGTCAGTTGGTTGAAAATGTTCAAAGGAGGGCCACCAAACTGGTGCCTGCACTTCGGCACCTCAGCTACCCTGAGAGATTGGAGCGCCTGAACTTGCCTAGCTTATACTACAGACGGGCAAGGGGGGACCTAGTTGAGGTTTATAAGCATCTCAGGGGGCACTACTCAGTTGAGTGTCCTTACTTGGAGCTGGCGGACGCTCGCCCCACAAGGGGTCACAGCTCAAGATTGAAGAAGCCGCAAGTCCAGAAAACCGTGAGGGCAAACTTTTTCGGACTGAGGGTTGTAAACTCTTGGAACAATCTACCAGAGAGTGTTGTGACGGCACCGAGTGTGAGCTCTTTCAAGAGAAGACTTGACCAACACTGGAGCGGGTTCAGGTACATTCAGGAGCCGGTGCATGCCCAGTATTTGCCAACAGTGCGTGACAGAGACGTGACCGATCGCCCGGGCGGCTAGCGAGCCAACCTTTTGGTGAAGAATATAAAGGAAAAGAGACGTGACCGATCGCCCAAGCGGCTAACAAGCCGATCAGTGGCGAAGAGGATAAAAGTAAAAGAATGTGTAGCAGTTGATTTGAATGTAATTTCTGTCATTGCGTGGGTAGCCACCTCTGGCAACTCATGCTGTATATAAGCCTGTGCGAGAAGGAGAAACGTCCCTTCCAGTGACGTTCTCCAAATTATCCCAGGTATGTGAGAGAGTGTTCCTCGCCGATATAGTCATTCAGTTTAATTTAGTCAATTTTGTGAATATCAGTGTTCATGTTGTGACAGTGAAATTGTCCTTTACCCAGTGTGAGAAGTACTATAACGTAAATGTCGTCTGTCGTTGCTAGACGAAAGATTGTTTGTGATTGAGTCATCATCATCCCTTCCAGTGATGTTCTCCAAATTATCCCAGGTCCAGTGTGTGGGTTAGTTGAACACCCCACCGGCTGACGGGGGTCGGTAGCTACCAAACAGTTAGCTGTTTTGCACGATGTCGCTGATTCGGCAGGATTAAACTGCTCCAGTCCGCCTCCGGGGAACTAGACCCCAGACTCTCTCAATGTCAGACTACAACCAACCATAACAGCGATCTTCATTTGTTGAGACGCTAGTGTTATGCCCTGGGACACTCCAGACAGTTATTTGGTCCACTGTATTTGTTATATATGATTGGGGATAATTAACCGAAATATAATTATCCCATGTTGGGTAGTGAATCCATAAAAATTGTTAGTATCAGTAATAACGTGTTATGTGTTGTGAGTGCATCCTCCATATGTACTACCAACAGTTCTAGTGAAGGTACCATATGTAAGCTTGTCCTGTAGCTGTATGTAATGTAATGTACCACCAGTAATGTTGTAAGAAGCAAGAGTATCTACTTGGACTTGTCGATGAGTAAAGCCAAGGAGTTCAACCTTGTAGTTGTATGTTAATGACATCTTGTACCTAATTTAATTTCGTATTAATAAACCATTTCTTAGAGTATATTAGGGGTATTATTTTCCCTCAGTATCCACCTTTATTTTTGTCCAATGACTTGATACCAGAATTACAGTACCCAGGTGCCCTAACCCTCGCCATGCTACCAAAGGTCTGAGGTGATGAAGTAACTATGACATGAAATAATTAGACAGAACAAATGAAGGAAATAAGACAAAGAAAGAAGTATGAAAAAAGAATATAAGGGATAAAAAGAGAAAACCCCCGCCCTTATATAATACCAAACCAGTGGGAAGACATGCTTATTGTCGGACTCATTTACAAATCACATAACTGTAGTTTTTAGTCATGGAAACTTGAAACTTTTGATAGACAACGAAACGCTGCTTAATTCTAGCCAACTATTTGTCATGGTAGACTTTAATTATAGCGAAATAGACTGGAGGACTGAAATTACACCAAGTGAAGTTAATAATTCTACAACTCTTTTTGTAGGAACTCTGAGAGACAGTTTGCTATTCTAACATGTTAAAGATCCGACTCACTATAGAGGTGAACAAATACCCAAACAGGTGGACCTCATCATCACTAACTCGGAGAGTGTGGTGGCCAAGTTGGAACATTTATCTCCCGTTAGCACTGCCATCACGAGGATCACCAAGAAGCGTTTATACATGAACCAAGCACCTCGTGACAATGTTAGGAAGATATCTAAGAGTTTCAAGAGATGGGTCACCACTAATGACAATCAGGAGAGAATAATGTAATAGCCCAGCAGAATCTCATTGAACCTAATTTGGGAGTATTTACAACGTTTTCGGCTGATTCTCCATATTTGACTTATTCTGAACATAAATCAATCGGGTGACGGATTGGAACTCTCGGGGGAAACTTTTGTATTGGCGAAAAATAAAATGGCTGCTATCAACCCCCCTGAAAAATCCAAAATTGGTCATAACTTTATTAATATTACACCTGGAGACTTGATTATGGTTCAAACACCACATTTGGAGTGACCAGGGATCACATGAAACTACTTCTAATGGGTTAGTTTATGTCGGCCATCTTGAATTACAAAATGGCCACCACCAGCACTCTGAAAATCATACGCTCGACCATAAGTTCTCCAATAGAGACTTGATTTTGATGACTATAACCATGTTTTCAATGACAAGGAGTTTGTGGGAATTAATGTGGTGTTGGATTGCATTAGGATGGAGGTGAGAAGGGAAACTCACTTTGGCATATTCTCTCTCTCTCTTAGACCACGGTAGGACGCCACCCTCCGGAAGGCTCCACAT